CACAGTGGGATTTAACGCTGGTCCTGCGAGCCCTGATCAAAGCTCCAATTGAGCCTCTGGATCAGGTTTCATTTAAATTCTTGTCTCTTTAAACAACCCTGCTGCTGGTTTTTAACACCCGCTAAGAGGATAAGTAATTATCTGCCCTCTCTGTTGCTTCGTCATGCCTTGGAATTTAGGCTGACGGGCAGCTCAGCTGATTTAAGACCAACCCAGCTTTTATGCCTAAAACATCACGAGCTCTTTTAAATCAAGAGTGATATCGTTGGAGGGGTCTTTTCCCCCCCACAGATCAGAAGAGGAAGCATCTTTTCATCTTCTCTGCCCGGTGCGGGCGTTGACGTGTTACATAACGCGCACAGCTGCAATGCGTTTCAAACTCAACAATTGTTTGTGCATTATAGAGATGCTTCTGCAGGTCGCCGTTATCCATCCAGTGCTTGTCACACTGGCTGTGTGAGGCCTTTTCTGAAGCCTACAGAGCATCAGATTAGGGCCTCCTGTCAACCTCTAAGCACACTCCACCAGGGGTATCGCATCTTCGACTGCTCTGCATAATGGTATGTCAATGCAGGACATTTGCACTGCGGCTGCATGGTCAACACCCTGCTCATTTATTCGCTTTTACCTACGTGATGTAACGGCTCGTTCCATGACACATTCTGTCCTTAGTGCTCTAACAGAATGAATATTATTGTTCTCATGGAACTCTGTTTAAGCTCACTTCTGTCTGCATGCATTACAGTGTGAGATGTTGTTATCAGTCACAAGTCGTGTCTGTGATTTTGGTTTTATTGTCACTAATCAGTTCATGACTATTGTTACCAATCGGTTCATTTGATCAATAATCAATTCATGGACATTAATCTGTTTATACTGTTCAGCCATGAACCAGTTGGTTCATGCCCCCCCCCCCTCTTTTCAACTTCTTCTTCCCGTTGAAGTTTTCCGGGGCATTCATGCTTGTCAGAACGCATAGTTACTCAACATGCGTCTGTGCATGGCACATAATTACGCGATGCGTAGTTATGCACACGGGGAGCTGAGTGACAAGACGTTTTTTGGGCAAGCTTCCGCTTCTTACTGTGTTCGAATGGACCCAGTGAGGCGAGGACCACATCCGCTTCGCCCTTAACCCATCAGCGACAGCCTTAAAGGGCGAAGCCTATATGAAATAGAATGTTGGTTACGTACTTTAACCCCAGATTCTATGAATATAGGCGTAGCCCTTTAAGCGTCGGGCCTCACTGGCTCCTAAATGGCTGAAGAAAAAAGCTATTTTGGGAGCCAATTTCCCGCTCTTAACGTAATTTATACGGACCGGGTGGGGCCCACACAGCAGGTGGGCGTGGACTAAATTTTTTCAGTGCTTATGCTCTGCATAACGGGATAAACCCATCAGCGACAGCCTTAAAGGGCTACGCCTATATTCATAGAATCTGGGGTTACAGTACGTAACCAACGTTCTGTCGGAGGGAGCCCCCGTCAGCAGACCCACGTCACACGTGTCAGTCTTCACGGACGCGTCGCTGTCAGGCTGTGGGGGGGGGACATGCCTATCTCAAGAAATAGGGGCACTGTGTGTAAAAGTGGGGGGGTCCAAATGAACGTTTTTTTTAATGTGGGGGGGACTTGTCCCCTTCACATATAATGGTTACGATGCCTATGTGTAAACATGATTGTTAAATCATGTTTCTTTTAACTGAGGCGGCTGTCTAAACTGAAGCCCATATTGTCCAAAAATAACCTGGAGACAGTAATACTGTACATGCATTCATTACATCTAGGCTTGATAACTGCAATTCACTCCTGTTTGGTATCAGTCAGACCTCCATTGCACGACTACAACTGGTCCAGAATGCAGCAGCCCGATTTTTAACCAGTCCAGGTAAAAGAGAGCACATTACACCAGTTTTGGCCTCCCTGCACTGGCTACCTGTTCACCTTCGAATCCAGTTCAAAATACTCATGTATGTCTACAAATCACTGAACAGTTTTGCCCCCCCCCCCCCCAAATTTATCTGATCTGCTACAACCGTATGTCCCACCATTGGCTGATGAGTTGTTATCGTGAACAAGCAGTTTAACAGGTGGACCCATAAATTAGCTGTTGAAGGCATGTCAGCTGTCATCTTCTAGTGAATTGTTTAGCAATGATCTTTGAGACATTACTGACAGAACACCCAATTTATACACCACAAAAGCTGGCACAAACACTGTATGAACATGCACCAATTTAAATGGATACTGGCGGAAACTCTTACACATAAAGACTGTATGGCAGTTTACCTATGTGTTGTCTAAATAAAAGGTGATTCTTTTTTGTAAAACACAACTGAGTCATTACTTAATACCTCAATATTCATATTTAATATTTGAAGTTTCATAATTTGGTCTAAAGAGTTTTTGGTCACTTTTAAATTATCTAAAACTGTTTTGCTAACTGATCTATGTGTGTCCAGGTCGTACTCTGTTGGAGAAGCTGTTTCTGCAGCAGCAAAAAGAGGAACCAGAGGAGGCTGAACGATTCTGCTCCAAGATCTTAGCCATGGGTCTTCTTCTGCCTTTTACAGAGTGTTTTAGAGAGCTGCTAGGAGGTAGCACGGCCAACATCACCTCTGTTGCTCCAGCCAGGTTTGAAGTATGTAGCTGGATATTTACTCTCCTAACTTCCTTCAGTTTTCTCTTTACACTCTTTCTGGACACACGCTAAATCTGTATAGATTTTCTTTAATTTCGTTTTTCTAATTTTTATAAACTGACAACTTTATTAGGCTGATACTGATTTATCTTTTTTAATTGTATCGTCAGATCAACCTTTATATTTTTATATATAGCCTGTATATTATTATTTTGACTCTCCTGTAAAATAAAACTGGAATGGAGAGACCAATTAATTTCCTTTTGCTATAGCAATTTAATTTGACGTCAAAATATCAACGTGAGACAAGAGAGCAACATTATAGTTTTTATTTCCTGGTGGAAATTATGGAATTGGATATCATCGGTTGTAATAGAGCAGTAAGAGTTTAGGTAAGCAAAGTATCAGACTACCTGTGTTTGATTTTAAGATCTAGGCTATAAAATCCTGATACAGTCAGACTCATGTACCTCACCACATGACATTGATGGGAGCTCTAAAGCCGCTTTGCTATTGATAAGTGTGACTCCACTTGGCTCTCGTGTAATCGGTTCTTCTCAGGTGCAGGTGATTTGCCACTGTGACTTGTGTCCCTGCTTTGTGGGTGGGATTGTCAATGCAAAGTGAGTGATATTGTAACAGGTCGTTGTGTTAGAGTCACTCCACCCGTTGCGATTCTTAATTGTCTTTGTTGGATGAATAAATATCCTATTATTATCTTCTTATTCAAATAAGCCACTTCGAGGACATGAGAAGATTTTTAACTGGTATTGCTCGCAAGGGCTCATTCAAAACAGACTACATACACAGATTTACAATACATGGATATTGTCACTGAATGAGCATCTAACAGAGGTTGCTGCAGACTTTTATCCAGCAGCAGAGTTCAGCATGCATTCCCTTATTGTCAGCTGCAGTCAGAAACATAGACAGGATCCATGGCTGTCAGCTAGTCGACCTCCAGCTAGAGATAAGAGAATGTTTTGAGCATGTTCTCATAGCATCAACACCAGTGAGGCGCTGCGAGGCTCATTCATAATAGCTGAGCCTCACAGTGCCTCAGCTATTATGGCTGAAATATTCTCATCCATCCATCCATCCATCCATTTTCTTTACCCGCTTATTCCATTTTGGGTCACGGGGGTCGCCGGTGCCCATGTCCAGCAATCACTGTGCGAGGGGCGGGTACACCCTGGACGGGTCGCAAGTCCATCACAGGGCCACATAGAGACAAACAACCATTCACTCTCTCACTCACACCTAGGGACAATTTAAAGTTACCAATCAGCCTAACATGCATGTTTTTGGTCTGTGGGAGGAAACCGGAGCACCCGGAGAAAACCCACGCATGCACGGAGAGAACATGCAAACTCCACCCAGAGAGGCCCCTGGACCGGGGTTTGAACCAAGGACCTGCTCACTGAGAGGCAGCAGCTCTACCAGTTGCGCCACTGTGCTGCCTTACATCCCCAACATTAATGGATTATTTTATTTATCAGTATCAATCCTTGCAAGTAGGAATGCTACAAGCATGTGGAGGACCCAGGGCAAAAACAGTCCAATCAAGTGGGAAAACACCACATCGCCTCTCTCTCTCTTCCTGAAAGTACTTCTGAATATTAAGAAGATAATAAAACAAAAAATATTACAGAAAAGCATTATAATATGTAATATGATTATAATGCTAGCTTGTACTAGCTACACATTTGTATTAGACATGAAGACAGACAGTAACTAAACATGTACAAACAGGTCATACTTTCTTTGTTTCCTTTGTTAAACTTTTATTCATATTTATTTTTAACATGTAAAGACTCAGATAAGTAAGAATGGTTTTGAAGAGAAATCTGTTTCTGCAGCATGATCAGCTGTACACATGGGCAGCTGTCAACCAACCACCACACTCACTGGATCTTCTTGAGGGGAAACTAGCAAGTCACATCAAAAGTCCATGGCCTCCAGGAAAACCAGGGTTGGATGATCGGCCTGGGCTCAAACCCACAGAGGCAGGTAAAAACACAATTTCAGCAACAAGGAAAATTTAATGGAGCGTCAATAAATTCAGTTGGAAATCAAAAATTCATATTATAAATCCTATATTTTAAACAATATTTACTAATAAGCATGCAAACACTACATCATTAATTTAGCTTAATGTAAGTACTTTGACCAAGCTACAGCCTTTTTGTGGTGACTAAAGAGGCCATGAAGTCACACGTGCACACTACAGGCAGCTGCAGTCCAAAGTTTTCATGTTCTAACAACAGTTATAATAAATGTAACTGTTGTTACATTTATAATTAATGTAACAACAGTTATAACAAATGTAACAACAGATATGACAAATGGAACAACAGCTATAACAAATGTAACAGCAGTTATAATAAATGTAACAACAGTTATACTAAATGTAATAATAAATGTAACAACAGTTATAATAAATGTAACAACAGTTATAACAAATGTAACAACAGATATAACAAATGTAACAGCAGTTATAATAAATGTAACAACAGTTATTATAAATGTAACAACAGTTATAATAAATGTAACAACAGTTATAATAAATGTAACAACAGTTATAATAAATGTAA